CTGGCTCTGAAAGTTAATTGGTTGTAAATGTAAAGTCTTTGTGTATTTTCTAAGATGTTCATCAAAATCTATCCAGAGACTGATTAGATGTTATGCTAAYGGTACAAACAGAAACCTTACCGCTCAGCCTTCAGCTGACAGATTTTCTCTCATGAGTTCTCTTGTACAAATTTTATACATGCAAGGTTAGTAATAATTCAAGGATTTAAATGTAAATGTAACCTTACAGTTTCTTAAAGCCAGTCTAAACAGAGTGGGTCAGCGTAAGCAGACAGATTGGAGGTGGGAGGATGCAGAACAACGAAGTTCCCCTGGTACATAACTGCTACTGCACTGTTCTGTTTAACAAGCGTGCCGTTCTGTACAAATAAGGAGTGGGAGAATGAGGAGGAGGGAAAAAGGATCCCCAACTCAGAGAGCCGCCTTTCATGGTAATTGCCTTTATTAAACTGAGGCATCRTGTTTTTGCCTGTGTGTTTGTCTTGTAGGAAAATATCTCATGAACCAGTGGACAGATTAAAAACATTTAGCCTACTGGGTGTACATCTGTAATTAGGAGTTAACCTGATTCAAGATGGCCACAACAGAGAATTTTGGCAAACATAGWTATAGCTCAGTGGACTAGTAGTAGCTGAGTCATCCCCAACACATCTCATTAAAGCTTGCAATGATACATGAATTTGTACATAAAGTCATTTGTAATGTTTGAAGTTAGTCCTCATTTATGATCAGACTGTGTTATTCTAAAAGTCCTGCATGAAAGGCAGCAAGTGACAAGACTGCTGCTTTCATTGTGTCTTGTTTCAGCAGGTCTGCCTGGAGTAATGGATGTTGTTATGGTTTCTCCTTACCTATTCTGTCCTCGTTTGGCCAGAGGTGAAAGCTAATCTGTGATACAAGGTGACAACTGTCCAAGARAAATGCTTATTGTCCTGACAGCTCCTTTCAGCTGGCTACAAGCAAGGACCAAACAAGTTCCTGATCTGTCAGGACAACCAAACCTGAGAGTATTTAGACATAAACAGAGTCCACATGTTGATGGAGGTGWGGTGTGCTGAGAACCACTGGGACCTGCCGTTGATGGTTGTCCTCAGGCAGTCAAATGAAATATGTTTTTTTATTTTATAATCTGAGCGGATTATATTCTGTCTTTTATCACTTACACAACTCCCTTAAGGAATTAAAGTTTGTGTGCTGAATGACTTCTTAAATTGTTGAACAAGTTGAAATTAAATATTGTTGATTACTAGCCAAATGACAAAATTTWAAAAAAACATAGTGCAAACAGAAAGATAAATAAAGCAAAAGCTGAGTTAAAAGCTAAATGTTACAAAAGACAGTCTAAAACCTCAATGACGTTAGATAAAAGCTAAATGGTAAGTGTAACAAGAAGGTAGCAAAATAAAAGGCTGTGTCTCATTTCACGGGCTGCATCCTTCCGAGTACATAGCCCATGTTCCTCCCAGTAGGCTACATCAAATTGGTGTGAAATGAGACAGTCTAGCCTTCGCTTGAGGTCGGCTTAACATATTATTGGATGATCACACGCTGCCCSTTTACCACAGTGATTGGTTTCATATCAGACTTAAAATGCACTGGGACATGTATTTACATGTCTTTTCACCAAAAGATTAACTTCACAGTTAAAATATTACACGTAAATAAAAAAATATTAATAATTTGAGTTTAGCTCCAGTATCTGTACTTGTAGTGTGTGTAAAAGCAGTAACAGCTTAGCAAAAAACTAAAAGGAGAAAACGACTAACTGTAAGTAGCAAATTGCAGGCTAAAAGAAGCGGAACAGAAGCTGAAAGCTAACAGGAGCACAAGATGATAAAAATTTATCACGCTGAAATTTATTTTACTGTTTTTAATGGACTTAAAATAATCTCATTTTATTTCTTCTAGGTATTTGGTTGAAATAAAGTTAAATTTTTTATAAAAGAAAAGGTTGTAAAAAAATAAAAATGCATAGTACCCATCTCCTGATAATGAGCTGATCTTTATGATTCAAAAGTAAAATAAAGTTAAAGCTAACATTACACATGATTAGTGTAGCTACAGAAAACAGGGACAATTACAAATAAAAACAGTGGACAATATTATGAATGCTGAATCTGCACTTTCATAATAAAATACACAGTGTGTTCATGACCCATAAGACCAGTCAAAACACAAAGAGCTAACTGTTAGTTTGTAAATTAATCCTACAACTGCTCTCTTTTATTATTTCCACTTTGTGTGGGATTGTGGCCTTTTTACCATCCAAGAGGCAAGAGTAAAATAATTCCTCAGTCGCATGTTTCACTGAAACCAACAATGGGCCTTCAGTCCGTTACAGTGCGCTGCTGAACTCCATTAAAAACATACTCTTGTTTAATTTCATACAATAATCTCTTGTTTTGTTTTTCAAAAGCGTTTTGCTTAAGAAGTGGTTTTGTTGAGATTTTTGTTGACAATTTTCTGTCCTGAATAAACCAGAAACTCTCTTTAAGTTTAGATGGGTTCTGTCTCCAATAAATAACCTGCTGTAGTACAACACAACACACCCAGATGCACAATGGGTACTAAACAGGTACATACCTAGTAAATGCCAGGCAAGTACTCAGCAAGTGATAATGCCCAGTACACACTTGATTTATACTCAAAATATATCCAGTATACCCACTTTAAACCAGTAAATGCCCAGTTTCTACCCAGTTAAACCAATTCATGCCCAGTACATGCCCAGTTTATATGTCCTGATGCATCTCAGTAATCCAGGTAAAAAATCAAAAAGAAAAAAATTGTATAGKTCTTCTGGACGGGTTCTTCTCTAATGAAACGTTTCGTCTCTCCTCCAAGAGACTTCTTCAGTCTGAGAGTTTCAGGCAAAATTCAGGCTTTTAAGCCCAGCCTCCATGTGACTGATACTCACATCACATGGCTATCATTGACACCTAATTAACACTTATTGTTAACAGGGGTTGGAGTGATACTGGCAATGGCCGCGCTGTAGGAGGGGGACAACTGAAAACGGAGGCCTCCACCTCTGTTTAATGATGGACGGTCTTTCTTCACAAAAATGGCTTCTTTTACTCCTCTCTCAAACCAAAGTTCCTCTCTATCAAGAATGAGAACATCCTCATCTCWGAAAGAGTGACCGCTGGCCTGTAAATGAGTGAAAACTGCAGAGTTCTGGCCATTAGATGTAGCTCGTCTGTGTTGGGACATTCTTTTGAACAGTGGCTGCTTTGTTTCCCCGATGTATAACTGGTCGCAGTCCGCCTGGCACTTAACAGCATATACAACATTGCTCTGTTTGTGCCGGGGCACCGGATCTTTGAGGTGAACCAGCCTTTGCTGTAATGTGATTTGGGGTTTGAAAGCCACTGGGACATCATGTTTAGAAAATAAACRTCTCAGTTTCTCCGAAACACCCGCAACATACGGAATAACCACTGGTTTGGGTCTGGGTTTGGGGTCTTCATTTTCACCTGAAGGTTGCATGGAATCCTGTCTGTGTTTCCTGTCTGCTTTCAGGAAAGCCCAGTCAGGATAACCACACTGCTCCAGGGCCTGTCGTGTGTGTGATTTCTCTTTCTCCCTGGCTCCTGGGTTAGTAGGGACACTGTCTGCTCTGTGGTACAGAGTATTTTTTTACCCAGTTTATACCTAGTTTAAATCAGTACATACCCAGTTTAAACTACAGATAATCTTGTAGTCTGAACTACTTGCAAGCTAGAAGATGAGCTGAAACATAATTTTACTCTATGGTACAAAACCTCACCATGTATCATAACTCTGTTCTATGTGTACTGTAAATATAAATGCTCCATATTTTTATCTGTATTTTGACTGTAATTTWAACYATGTCCTGTTGTGTCTGTCTACTGTACAGCACTTTGGTTGGCCTTGTGCTGTTTAAAGTGCTTTATAAATAAAAGTGGTATGGTATGGTAYGGTATGGTACAATTTTACTCTATGGATATCACACAATTTGCCATACTTAAAGTGGAGCAAAATGACCAAATACAAAGTTTAATCACTGAGTAAATACAATACATGCAGATTTGATTCTGTCACATCTTCTTCGTTGGGTCTGAGAGTATCCAGTGTGTCTAAATCAGACTAATCAGTGACGTTTTTGTTCCTACCTTTACCTCATAGTTCAAACTTAGAGCAGGTTTTGAAGCTGAGGACAGTTTGGAACATGTCAGAATGTGTTTTGTGAGTCTAATGAGGAGAGGGGAGTGTTACAGACAGATCACTGACTGAAGAGGCTCAGCTGTCTTTGTTTCCAGTTTGGCCTAGAGCTCTTAGAACAACACAGATAAGCTGCTGACAGAAACACTGGATACAGCAAAGGTGGAGTTCTGCTGGTTCTAGTTTTGGTTATTTGTTGTTGAAGACTAAATTAGATCRCTGGTTAAAGTTGGCCTTCACTTTCTTATTGCAGGTCCTGACCATTTCGAACATTACTTTTTAAAGTTAGCAGTTGATTTTTTAAAATCTGTATACATATTAACATCAGACTATCTAAATAATCAGTTAATTGACAAACCGGTCKCATTGTGTTCAAAATAACTAATGTGTTTTCAAAAGTTCCAAGGAACAGACAGGTTGGGATTTTATCCATCTATCCATTTACTATACCCGTTTCTTTCTTTCATGGTCCAGGGGGTCACTGGTGCCCATATCCTGCAGTCACTGTGTGAGGGGCRGGGTACACAATGGACAGGTCGCAAGTCCATCACAGGGCCACACAYAGAGACAAACAAMCATTCACTCTCTCACTCACACCTGGGACAATTTYGTGTTACCAATTAACCTGACAGTCACGTTTATGGTCTATGGGAGGAAGTCAGAGTGCCCRGAGAGAACCCAAGCATGTACGGAGAGAACATGCAAACTCAAAAATGTGTTCTGTGGTTCATGAGATAYTTTACTAACAACACACACAGAGGCAATTGCATGACCTTTCATGAAAAAAGGTGACAAAAAAGACATGAAATCATTAGTTTAGTTGCAAATCTTACACCACCCTTTATTCTTTTAGTTGCATCAAATTTGTGGCCAACATGTCACCTGTTTTACTTTTGTTTCAACCTCGYGAACAGAAAACATCTTCCTCACTTACGGATTCCATTGTACGAACACCTTCCCCTACATACTGTATCCATCAGACTCTGACTTTAAAACCATCTTTAGCAATCTTCCASTTCAACCTCATCAGCACACCTCGGTCTACTTTACCATTCAACATTTTCTTAACAATCCTTCTGTCCACTTTGTCTTGTCCCAAAGGACATTATAGTCCACTGTGATCCATTTTCKTCTGTTAGCTTAAAAAGCAGCCAACATGGCTCAGTTCAAACTTGTTTTAAAACAAAGCTTAGTTTCTTCTTTGATATGACTCTACCATCAAAGAGTTTGTTATTTGTGAGAAATCCAAGATTTCATTTGTTCTGTGTTTAAATGAGGACCTCTGTAGGGAACTACAGTGTCCAGGATTTAAGGAATGCATCAAACTAAGACACATCTTCTGATTAATTTAAAGCTTTTTGTCTCATCCGCTGGTTTTTCTTTCCTTTTATACAATTAAACAACAAAAAAAGAAACAAAATTAAATGTTCTAAAGACTAGAACTGTTGCTTAATAAAGAACTATAAAAATTGCTATATATTTTGAGTATAAATATGTAAAACTTTTGTTAGCCCCCAGAAACAGGTCTAAAATTAGACTTAAATACCAAATTAAAAGTAAACAAGGTTCGATCTTTACTTCAGAGTCATGACAAAGTCATTGGAAAATCCAGATTTGTGATCCCGTTTTGGAGCCAGTGGAATTTGTGCACATTCTCCAGAACACTGGCTCTGTGGGATGCACTTGGATAGCTGCCAGTGAGGACAGTAACATCAAACACTGTCGTAATAATACAGATAAATACAAGACCCGCGCTTCACTGTACAAGAAWAGTGTCCAACCAAGAGTCTGTTTCCTCCGCCTCACTTCACACCATTGTCTCTTTGCGTTTCCCTAAGGAACACAARGACTTTTTGTCCTTCTTGCTTTTGTGTAATGTTGTTGAGAAGAGCGGCGACGACAACAATGATGCCGTTGATGAAGACGACGAACGGGTTGAAGATGAGGATGGGGTGGGGCTATGTGGTGAGCTAGGTGTGGAGTCTGAGGCTGGCCGTGGGCAGTTTTCATCAGCTTCCTGTGTGTGGGCGATGGCGGGGGACGAGCARTGCTTGGTGTCACTCGTGGTCGGGCTCGGGGTAGGGGACTCGCTGAGAGGCCGATGGATGGAAATGGCGCTGCGCAGACAGTTGAGCCACTGCTGTTTGTGGAAGACATCGTTGACCTGTAGGGTGTGAGACTGCACCTGGTTTGGGTCTTGGGAACGCACACGAAAAATGTTCTTGGCTGCAGAGAAAGCAAAAAATAACAATTAGAGGGGCAAAAAAACCTCAAAAAAATTTAGGAACTTTTACTCTTAATTGTGGTGCAGGCCTTACCTTTGTCCACATTGCTGAAGGCACCTCTGAAGGAGCCGCCCATTCTGACATCTCCATCCTGCAGGTCCTCCAACACCAGGTCCTGCACCGGGATTGGCTGACGGTAAACTTGGAAACACTGACGTTCATTTCTGGTGACGGGGCGGGTCAGGACCAGAAGCTCCGTGAACAGAAACACATGCAGCTTCTACAAGCAAGCAAAAAGACAAAAGATTAAAACCTGATGTCTTGCACAACAAYGATTTGTTGGAGGACAAACAGCTGAAAAGTTTCACTCACCGTGCCACTCTTGTTGCGCACCTCTCCATGACACAAAAGGCTCTTGCACAGCTCGATGCGAGGGTCCCTCTGCCTGTCATCAAGATACTCCAGCTTCTCAATGTAGTACTGACACTCAGACTCTCCCTTCTTCATGTTGATGTCAGAAAGAACACCCTGAATGATGGTAATCTGAAAACAGAAAGAGTCTGATTAGCATGTGACCACATCAGACCCCTCGGTGCCACAGGCTACGGTGTTGGACACGTTTCTGAGGTGGACTTACAGCTTCCTCCAGGCTGCCCGCATCAGCGTGTTCTGCTGGAGTGTGTTTCAGAATCTCCTTGAGAAGCAGCGGGTATTTGACCAGGCGAGAGCGTGGAATGTCCAAGAAACTCCACAAGTCCAGCTTCCGACTGAACGGCGACTCAAGGCAGCGTTGTAGGAAGTCCTGCACCCGCGGGTCCTGCTTCTTTTGATCTAGCAGTGCCTTGGCTGCCAGCTGGTTGCTGCAGTAGTGCTTGTAGGCGTTCAGCCTGGGCAGCTGCAAAACATAAAGAAAAATACTATAACTAATGAAATTCTTTGTATAAAAAACACTAAAAGATTCCAAGTCCTTGTAAAGTTTTATTTAAAAAGACACTCACCCATCGGACTACAATCTGTCCTATTTGACACACAGTCCCATCTGGTCCTGTTGCTTTGGAAAGCTGAGCTAACAGGTCTTCATGGAGAGGAATATAGGTATCCAGATTGCCAAAGATGTGAGTTAATTCCTCCTCAGACATGATAGATAGCTTCAGCATCGGGTCATGGTATGCCTGCAGAGAAAACCAGAATTACATTTCAATATTCAGACAGCAGAGTGGGACAGCTGCTAAAAATAGCTCAGGCTACAAGAGAAAGACAGAAAAAMAATCCCTGTTTTTTATAGCTTCTGGCTGCACTACATGGGTGTCCTGCCAGAGTTTGATTTAATCTGTTTGCTTTTAAATGTACTCCCTCTGCTTTAGAGTTGTTGTTTTTTTTTATCACAAACCTTGCGTGCAAGCTGGAGGTCCTCAATCAGATCCTGTTCTCCTCGGGACAGCTCAAATATAGCCTGAACAAAAGGAGGAGGAGAAATACAGATATTTGAGTATGCGTTCATTGGCCTATCAGGTATGTGTGGGTTACAGGGACCAGGAAATTAGGTCTGAATGGTCAAACTGGTTTAAGACAAATACTTTAAAGTCTTGTGACATTTGTCTACTGCATGTCTCACCTCCTGTCGTTTGATCTCCTTGGTAGAGAAAGTTCCCTTCTGATGGACGTCTATTGTCTCTGACCACAGGGTGCTGTTCCTCCTTTTAGGTGGTGTAGGGGCCTTGCTGCAAGGCTTCTGGGGCGCRTTCGGTGACTTGCCATCACCCCGGAAGGAGGCCTGCATGCAAACAAAAATTCATTTGTCAGGGATATTTCAGAAGTCCTTCAACTCAAGAAGTTATCTTCATGCAGGAGGGTTAACCCTAACCCTTACCTGGAGTGTTTGGCCAAATCGCCGAACGGCCCCATTCTTAGCCGGAGAGATGAGATTGGCTAGTGACGTCACCCTGCCAAGAGAACGGACACGCTTGTTGCTGGGTTCCTGAAAAAAAGCAGAAGGAAAAATGGAAGCAGAGGTTAATCGTAGGTTTTGTGAAAGACTAGCCTGACCTTTACAAAGAGCATGCAGCAGGTCAAAAATCAGTCAATCAGTGCTGCKAACTCTTAAATCCAAGCACTCCCTTGTGACTCACAAAACAAAGTGTGGTCATAAATCCTCATGATACATGCCACCTCCTGATTTAGGGTGAGGAAAGAAGAGTAGCTGAGTCAAAATGGATCTGCCGTCAGACAGACTGGTGAGTAGTAGACACAGATACTGAGGAGAGAGCAGCTCCAACAGCTGTTGGCTCCATCATGCGAGGGGTCCCGAGCTGGGCCAGCCCACTGAGCATGAAGATCTTTCCTGACTGTTGCTCTGGTGTGAGAGACAGTCTGGAGGAATGCCAAGAATGCACGGGACCATGCTAGTCAGCTGTTCAATGCCTCTCCCTGTTCTCACTCTGTTAATATCTGGCCACACAACAGTTAGAGTACCTGACAAACATAGATGTTGTGTCACTCAAAGTGCAAWAAATGCTTCATGGTGGCCTGAGCTCCTAAAGGGGCCCAGAGGTAATCACTGAAACTACTGGAGACTAATTCATTGATAAAATATAGGAGGTTAGATCTGGACTTTCAAGGCTAGAGCCTTGAATATTTTGTTTTAAAAAGGTGTCAAAACACAATTCTAGCACACCTAGGATGGGCTTGAGATTCCTGTAACATGTCTGGGATGGATTCAAGATACCTGTGACAAAACTGAGACAGGTTTAAAACCCATGACAATGCTCAGAACAAATTTAGGAAGTATTTGAGATGGGTTTGAGACACTCGCAACAACTCTGCAACTATATGAGAGAAAATCTGTTGCACGCAAATGTATTTTGAGCAACTACATTACAAGCCTACAAGAAAAATGTTTGGAGACTTCCTTGCAAATGTAATTTCCCAAMTGATCTCCAACTATTGCAGCCCAGTAAATTACTGACTTAAAATAAATCAGTGATGGTGAAGTAAACAACAGAACAAAGATGGTCAGTAGTTCAGTGAAGGGGGGTGCATGGTGGAGTTAATGGCTGCAAGCTGAGACAAGCTCCCTAACAAGCCTTGCGTGAGAGATGCACTACACCTGGGTCAGATAACCCCCTCTTCCTATTCCTCACCTCACCCCGAGGCTGAGAGGGGAAAAAAGAAACAGCTGCTCATCTTTCCTCCAACAACAGGCTTCAGGAATCAAAGCGCCGCAGTAATGATTTCATCCAGTTTAACCTTACTGATCACATGAGACATCAATGAAGCCCCAGGTGCAGGCAGCATTTCACGAGTATAAAATTCCTAAACATCTTTATACTTGATGGTTTGCTCATTCTGATTAAACATATAAATTTATGTATAAACCACTTTTTCTCCTGGCTAAGTGAAGTTTTGCCTTGGCTCTGCTCATGTGAACAGTGCAGCCTTGAGACTTCAGGCTCTGTGAACACAGCTGTGGAACAGATCGACTGTCTGCAGAGGTCTGTGGCTGCGGTCGATGCACATTCTGTAGTGGTCAGAGTCCCCACAAACACCCATGGGAACTTARCAAGTCCTCTATTGGCGAGAGGCGCCGTGTGTCAAACGCTATGACTGTGGTCGAAGAGTAATGACAGACTTTTGGAAATCCCAGGTCCCTATCTGTCTTTGTAATTTTATTACAGACAAAAACATTTAAAAAAAACACCAGACAAAAATGAAATGCAACAGCATTAGAGAGGCAGAGGTTTCCTAAGTCAATGTTGAAAAAGCATGTTGAGCATAATGGCCTTCCTGTCCTCTGGCGAGCGGCCTCAGAATAACAAAGGCTCAGTAGTCCTGCTCTTTGTATATTAGCTGTAAAGGGAACCGGTGCATACAGGCAGAAAACATTGCTATTCCTGTTAGTCCCACTCTGATTTAGGTTGTCAGTCTAGACTCAGGAGGCCACACAGATCGTGGTTTTGCTTTGGGTAAGTATCAGTGGAGACACTCAAGTTTTACTTCAGGGGACTTCCAACCTCATAAACGTCAGGGTTCAGTCATAAAAGCTTCTCCTTTGATGTGACCCTGGAAGCTACAGCTCTGTTCCTGTGAGGAAAACAAATCTGCAAATCTGTAAAATGTTGCTTTACTCCACAACTCTCTTTAAAGCAGCTTACTCTCAGTGAAACCACAATTGTTTTGTTTTTTTCAAAAAGGTGACTCACAGCAGAAAGAAGGAGTTCCCAGGACAAAGAGCACACCTCTGTTTTTGTTTTTGGGTGGAGAACATCAGGCTGCTGTAGCAGATCCTGAGCAGAGATAACAGGTTTACCTGCATGTGTCACAGGTGAAAATAAAGCTTTTATTTTACTGAACAAGACCAAATTCCTCTGCTGGTTTGTTGTTTGTACAGACTGACTGTCCTCTGAAGATTGATCTGTCTTACTGAGATGTAAGTTTGGAGAGAAAACTTAAACATGCAAAGCTCCACCTTTAAAGAAACTGGACTGTGTGTGTTAAAGACTGGACAGAAACCAAAACAGTGCTGTTAGATGCCAGGTCAAAGTCTCAAACCTGTTCCACAGAGATGTGATAAAACCAAGGTTAGGCACTGATTCACTCACAAGATAAAAAACATGACTTCATTGAATAAAATCACAGTTAAACACTTAAAAGGCCTGCAGGATCAACTTTTACTGCACTTTTTTATGTTCTCATCTCACCTCTGATTCCTTGTTGGCTTGGTGCTGACACTCTATCACTTGTAAAGTCCGTTTGATGGGCACCAAGCTCCCCAGCTCGTCGTAAGCCACCATAGCTTTCAGTAAAAACACAGTCTCCTTTAAATCCTGGTGAGTTAATCCACAAAACAATGACATAAAAAAAAGTATGTTGATAAAAATCCCAGATTTTAGATTGAAAAATCAGGAGATAAATAATCCCATTCCTCCTCTCCCTCTTCCCTTTAGGGACAGCTTAGAAGCTGAACTCACACACTTTTACACATTGGACTGAGGCTGAGGGAGGTAGGGTTTTATACAAGCAGCCCAGACCCAGGGGAGGAGCCAGGCCCTGCTCAGGCCCAGTGGCTGCAGGTGAACAAGGATCAGGTTTACATCAGACCCAGCCTGCAGACTCTGTTGACCAAACCACACAGAGGGAAAACAGTAAAGAAAAAAATTGAACTGCTGGTGAATTGTACTGCTTGGACACAAACAAAGCAGATGAGGGTTTATCAAAGCTGTTCTCACTTAATGAGGATTTATTTCAGAGAACTGTTTTGAAAGAAAAAAAAACAGTAAAGATATGCAACCAAAGGAGAAAGATTTTAAAATACTGTATTATTGTCCTGTTCTCATGCTGTGGTATCATCGGTGCAGAATCCCTCTAGTGGCGCTGAGCAGAAATTTCTACAAGTTAAAAAAGAAGTTATCATAAACTGTAAACAGATGAGACTGAAATCCCTGGTTTCTGGTTCAACTGTKTGAGTTTAGATTAACATGAGCACAAGATTACAACAGATTTTATCGAGTGTTGCAGTGCTTAAAGATCAAAGTGTCTCTAACTTGTTAGAAATGTCTCCAGTGGTGGACAGTTTTTTTTTTAACCATTTCCACTAGAAAAGATCCCCACTGTCCCAAATAATGTGCAGGTGATGATCAAGTTTTGATGTGTAGTCCTGAACCAGTTGGGTTGCTGAAGAGGTAAAGTAAGTTTTTGTGTTAGAGTTGAAGTAAATCAGTCAGTTTGCTTGTTTTGGTCAAATATTTAGTCTGTCTGAAACGTTTCCTGGAAAACCAGGGCAAGAATTTGTTTTTCACATCTGTTATAATGTTGGAGCTGAACGAGCCTGATAGTTTCTGAAGTGAGCCGCTTGTTATGAAATGTTTGAGAGCCACTGAGTTATTGTACTTGATGGAAACATTGGGTTTTCAGTTTGTTATTTCAGACCAGCTGTAAGGAATAAAACCAACATATCAGATTTACACCAGCTGAGATTGAATTGAAACGGTCAGCTGCACTTTTGGCAAACTATAATAATACACCTTCCTAAAACAATTACTTTCTATTTTTTCAAGTTGGACAGGAATCTCAAAAAAGTCATGTAGTTTCTTACCTTTTAAGTTATGTTCCTGAAAAACTTWAAAAAAACAAGACTTGGGCGATAGTTTCAGGACAGTGACAGTGATCCTGCAGGTATAAAATTGTATTTTTCTTATGTACAACAAGTAAATAAATATAATCTTTGACCATTAAATCAAACGCATGACATCATATTCAAATGGATAAATGGAAATTTTGACAAAAAAACCAAATGGCTGCTACAGTTTGTTAAAGAAGCTGAAACTGAATTGCCAAAAACAAAAGTATGCTAAAATTGAAAAGAAAAAGCTAAATGTAGCAAAATGTTCAAATGTCAATAATAAAAAAGCAAAGAAGCTATAATTTAGAAGAAGGGCTTATTTTGTTTTGTCTTGTTGCACTAATTTTAAGTAGCGTAAGAAGACAAAACAAAGCAAATTTAAAAGAAAACGATCAGTTACAAAAAAACCAAAGTAAGCGCAGCCTTACTCTTGAATGTGCTAAAGGTTCGATATATAAAATGACACAAAGTTTAATAATAAAAAAACTAGAGGGAAAACCACAAGCTCAGACAATTACTGACAGAAACACTGGTAATAAATAACACTGTTCTTTGAAGATGATGTCAAAATACAAAAACAAGAAGTAAAAATATACATGAATGTGAAAGCTAATATCCCTCTCTCACACACACAYACAGGTTTGCCCAGCTATACATTTCAGGACATTCCATTGACTTCCATTACATCTCTACAGCCTAACCCTGACCACAAACCCTAAGGCTGACCTCACAGGTACCTACCTGACCCTGAAACTAACCTAAACTCAATTCACACCTTGGTCCTACCCTGCAAAAACTGTCCATCTTACCAAGTTTTAAAATCTTACATCCAGCCAAAAAGTCTTTTTGATCTTGTTTTGAGACTGATTTACTAAACAAGAACTGACTGTGTAAGAATAATAATCTTGTTTTCAGAATGTGTAAGATTATTTGTCTTGTTAACCTGAAAATTTGACTCAAATTAAGTCAAAAATTTCTGCCAATGGAGTAAGAAAATTTTACTTGGTAAGATTCTTGAAATAAGAAAAAAAATTGAGTCAAATCAAGTATTTCAAGAATCTTACCAAGTAAAATTTTCTTACTCCATTGGCAGAAATTTTGACTTAATTTGAGTCAAATTTTCAGACTAACAAGACAAATAATCTTACACATTCTGAAAACAAGATTATTATTCTTACACAATCAGTTCTTGTTTAGTAAATCAGTCTCAAAACAAGATCAAAAAGACTTTTTGGCTGGATATAAGATTATAAAACTTGGTAAGATGGACATTTTTTGCAGTGTAAACCCAACCCCCAACCCACCAATGGCATTTAAACCAAATGGGGACTCAACTTAGGTCCCCAAATGCACCAGTTGTCCCCAAAGGTAGGTGTTTTGTCTTCAAATTGCCCCCAAGTGTCACCACCCCCGCCCCACACACACACACACACACACACACATACATAAACAGCGTGTACTGCCAGACAATCATTAAGCCCCAGTTTGCAGACATGAATAAACATAAATGTGTCTTCTAGAAAGTAGCACAGAGTTCTGGTTCTGGTCTGACCCATCATGGTTTATCCAAACTGAAGATAGAGACATTAGTCTGGTGTCAGAAACTAGATGACTTGTTCTGATTAATTAACTCAAATCAAAGCTCAGAGCAGTCAGGAGACTTTTATCGGTCTCATCAGCTGACCCAGAGGGAGAGAGGGAAGTATCAATAGTTAGGGGAAACTGACCTTATTGAGTTGAGATGGACAGGGGGGCTGCAAGGGGGGACTGAATGTACTGTAGCTGCTGTTGGTTCAATAGAAGAAAGAAARCAGGTTTAACTGACTTCACTGTRGCGGCCATCTTGAATTGTGTTGGCGCTTAATCAGCTGCTGTGGCTTATCCAGTGATTATTTCCTGCAAGTTTATTCAGGAGTTCAGGAGATGTTTTGCTAACAGACAGAGAAAAGTGATGAAGAGGAGGTATTCAGATGAAGAGGCTTGGCTCTGCCTGTGTGTCTGTATGGAGGTAAATTTGTGTTTTTATTATTCAATCAAACAAAAAGCATCTTCAATC